GGATCCAACCACGCCCCCTGGATCTTGTGTTCTGCAGTGAGGGGCTACTGGCGACCAAGGCGGAGGCGGGGATCTGGAAGGCCGGGGTGGAGCCGGAGCGACAGAGGACTGAGGAGGAGCCGAAGGGATGAAGGAGCCGGAGGGACGAGGGAGCCCGGCGGAGAAGAGGGAGCTAGGAGCCATGGTGGAGCCGCTGGGTGGACAGGCCGAGGCGGAGTCTGGGACTCAGAGGCTGAAGGCGGAGGCAAGGGATTCTCCAGCCACGCCGACGATGGAGACTGGCAGACACGCGGTGCTCGCACCGAACAGATGGTGGGCTGAGGGTGAGCAGAGGGGCTGCCAGATGACAGCGGTGGAGGAGGCAGGAGCGGGCAGGTGGGTGGCTATCCGTGAGCCCCCGGGCTCTCCGGGCCGATGTGCGCTGCCCACACACACCAGGAGCGTGTCAGACAGGGGAACAACAGGGCTGGCAGATAGTTCAGGGCAGACTGGTAAGTCCGAGGAAGGTGGGAGGAAAATGGGCATGTCCGCATATATATCTGCCTCCCAGTCTATTAAGTCCCCTTCAAAGTCCAGCAGTCCCAGATACACAATAAGCTCACCCTCAGCCATGGTGCAGTGGGCAGAGCTCCTCTACGTGCTCTCGCTGTCCATGGCTTTTTCCCTCGTGGCCAGCGTTGTAGCCAGCTCTGGCACCTGGTCTACTGTCACTAGCAGCTCCTGCTCCGCGGCGATCCTCAGCTCTGTCGCTTCATGCGGCGATGGCTCATCGGTCAAGGCGGGCTCGGGCTCTCCATCATCGGTGGGCTTGGGCTTTGGCTCCGCGCAGCGGCGATCCAGAACAGCGCAGCGTCGTCGAATGCCGTTAAAACGGCGAGTTGGCTGAACTCAACCGCATACTCCGCATACTCCAGGTCCTTATGGGCTAGAACTGTGCATTTAGCAGCGAGGGGATCCATTGGGGGGAAAAAACAAAACACGGAAAACAAACGGAGGGGAACACGCAATATACTTCTTTTTGTTGGTCCAGTGTTCTGTCACGGTTTCTTACTGTGAGGAGCAAGGAATGCGGAGATGAAGGAGATTCAGGAATAACAGTCTTTAATTAACATCCAAGGGGAAACACAGGCAGGCAGGAGACACACGTAGAA